ATCATGTAAACCACGATTTATAAACAATAATGAATACGTTCATACAGCATACGTAGCCAAATTCAAACAAATAATATTATGGTTTATCATGTAAACCACGATTTATAAACAATAATGAATACGTTCATACAGCATACGTAGCCAAATTCAAACAAATAATATTATGGTTTATCATGTAAACCACGATTTATAAACAATAATGAATACGTTCATACAGCATACGTAGCCAAATTCAAACAAATAATATTATGGTTTATCATGTAAACCACGATTTATAAACAATAATGAATACGTTCATACAGCATACGTAGCCAAATTCAAACAAATAATATTATGGTTTATCATGTAAACCACGATTTATAAACAATAATGAATACGTTCATACAGCATACGTAGCCAAATTCAAACAAATAATATTATGGTTTGTCGTGTAAATCTGACCATAGAAGAGTTGTACTTTGAGAAACAGTCATACTGCTGTTTTTCCCTTGCTTTGTTAAAAGCTGAGGTTGAATTCCAGTTTACAAGATGAGGAGGACTCTGACTACCAGATGAGAACTTGTGTTGGAAATGAAATGGGTGATTCTCGAAGGTCTGTCTGAGAAAGTTTTTTGTTGGCTTTCTTTCATCAAGGTGCAGTTACAAAGGCTGAAGATTGTTGGGTTTCACACTGACAACAGACTGTTTTTCATTCACATTGCTATATAAGCACTGTGCTGTCAAGATCACAGCATGATGCAGCACAGAAAAAGAGAATCCCTGATTTCACGAGTAGCGCTTTCTCAACTTATATGACACTTGCATAACTAGGTTTAAGCAGCACATTCATTCTGGATGGCAACATGGTAATCCATGATAAAAAAAAAAGCTTCCTGGAGAGAAAGATTTAAAACGTGTGCATCAAATAGGTGTGACAATCATAGATTTGTTGCAGTGTATTTGAATGCATTTGAACGTGTGACTTAGAAGTGAAAGCTTTGGTGTAATAATTTTCATGCTTCAGTTTTCACTGAGAGATCAAAGCTACACTTACATTCTTGAAATGATGTATGCAATTTGTTCCTGTGTTCGGGATGTCTTCATTATCCTTCTGTTAAGGGTTCTCAAGGAATCACCTAAAGAATGTGGTAAATACAATGCAAAGCAAAGGATTTCACTGTGAAAATCTATTTATATGCAGCTTGATATAACATAGACTTTTAAAGTACCACAGGAGCATACTGCTTTGCGATACTACTGGCCAACAAGAGAAGCTGTGTTAAAAATTAGGCCTGCCTCGAAAACATTTGAACTATTTTCTTTGTTGTGCTATTTAGTTCACATTTATTCAAGAACTTTTTCCACACAAGCCACTTCCCAGAAGATTGACTGTTGTTGGATGACAGTCAGTTTTAAGTGATAAGGAATTGTTGATTATAGTTTTTTTTTCTTTTGTTTGCAGTGAAGTAGAGAGTCTTTCCATTAGATTTGGCCTTCCTCATAAAAAGAATTGAAAATCCTGTACAGGTATAATATAAAAAGAATAATGTATATTTCTGAAACGTAATGGGTAGTACTCAGTATATTGGTTATCCAATGTCTTCTAGGAATTATTTGGTAGAAATCATTAAGTAAACAATACATTACTTTGTTAGGTAGTTGAACAAATTAGAAACAACATAGATAAGCTATTTAGGAATTTCCAGGATGTTTTTCTTATAGCAGCTTAACTGAAGAAGCAATATGTTTGTTAACTGAATAGCTGCTTTTGGTTTGGCAGTAGGAGTTGCTGTAGTAAGAAATATGTTTCAAGCATTATTTTTATCCACAGACAAAAATAGCATTTTCAGAGGGAGAAGTCCCAACTGTTGTAAATAAGCTTTCTGTGTACAGAAACCAACCACACCTTCAAGAATGGAACTGAACATTTTGAAACAAGGCATTCCAAACCTGGCTTGTTTCGTAACACTACTGCAGGGGGATATTTGGAGGGGAGAATCTGAGCCTGTTATTTAATCCATACGTTAGGATGGACCTCTTGTTTGCTAAACGGCTGGATATAAACCTATAAAATAAAAATACATCCACATTAGTAGTTCTGACATGCAACTTGCCTTTTGTTTTAAAACTTCATTGTCCAGCTGCTTATAAAATAACTTACCACCAGATGGAATAAATTAACTGGAAAGGATGGGACTTGCAGCGAAGGATTGGTAGATGTAAGACTGATGATGCATAACACGGGCTGGCTAACTCTTACCTCTAGATGTCCTCTTGCCTTTACACATCCATTAACAGCTGGTGTAATTGCAGTGTTAAGACTAGCATTAGATACTGTTTTGGTTCTTCCTTGACAAGACAATGTGCATTCAAATCTGGCTTTTCTGTTTAGCTGCTGTTCTGAAACCTCTCTCCTGCTTTTATGAGCAAGTTTAATGCTTAGCAATGTAAAGCAAAAACTGGGTAATTGCCAGATCTTGTTAGCTGGACTATCTGGTGCCGGGCTTTGTAGGGAGCATTACTTGAGTTCTTCAATTCAGTGGCCACTTGGTCATTATTTAGCCAAAGGGATCAGTCAGAATTAAGTAATGAGCCAAATATTTCATGAAGTTAAAAATAAGCTATGGTTATAACTTGGATCTCATTCTGCCTGTACAAGAGATTATAGCAGTTAATTGCATATAGGTAATTTAAGGTATATTAAAACATGGGAAAACAAATTTATTGGTTTGGGGGAATAACATATTACCTGCACAGCCAGTGTTGCACTGGTTTTTTAGAGTCTTGTAACTTCATTTGTTACCTTAGAGCTAAACAAGTAGATAATAGTGTCTGCAGAAGTGTATTCAGGCTGCAGATTGTAAAAATGAAGAGTTTTCTTTCCAGGGTTATGTTCGGGGGGGGGGAAATTGGGGAGTCTGGAGCAGGAGCCAGGTATGTACTGTGTAAGGCTCATCTTACCCTACTCCTCATACATTTATGTACCTTTCTCCTGAAACAAGAGGGCAGTTTTAAGCTGAATGACTGAACCAGCCTTGCGGTGGTTAATACGTACTGCTGTCATAACAAAGCAGCAGTCCGGGCATAAACTCTTCTGTGTGCACCCCAAGTCTTGCTGGCTTCAGAAGAAGAATTAGAATCGATGTTACGCAGTCTTACGCTTGAGGGTCAGTTCCATTTAACATGATGGGGCTTGTTCCTCAGTAAAGATATATAGGATTGCAGTATAAATTGGCTGACTCTTGGTCCCCAAACTGTTATAAGGCCTATAAGAGGAGCATGAATACCAGCGATTAAAAGGGAGGAGATAAACTGAGGAAATAATACAGACAAAAAGGGCACTGCTGCAGAATAGTGGAACACCTTTTGGATTGTATCAAGCACTGTAAATGAATATTTGCATGGCTGTAAAAAATGCAAACTAAGTTGTAAATACTAACCTTTTTAGTAAAGTTAAAATTACTATTTATTTGCATAGCCTATTTATTATATTCTTTTTACATTGTTAGGAACAAAGGCACTCTCAAGATACAAAGAAAAGGCTACTTGCATCTGGGCTGCATAGACCAGGATAATTGAATGGCAGCAAAGAGAAAGAATGCTGCTGTTGCTGCTGTTAGTGGTTGCTTGTATTTTTGCAGCTTCGATACGGCTCCTTTAGTTTTGCCCATTTTGGTCTCTCCAGAGTGCCATTGTGTTTCAGTCTGCATTAAAAGTAATAGAAAGATTGCCCAAACTAAGGTTATTTGCCTAACTTCTCAGGGACACACTTGTACTTACCTACCATTATTAGAACTGGCATATGTGAAATACTCTGGTTTAATTAACAAGAATACAGTTGCCAATGTAGCCCTTTACATATTTCATGTGTGTTGATTTCTGTATATATCACTGTTTTGTGTATTTATGAGAGTTAGTAAGCAATAATTTGTCAAAATAATGGCAAGCAATACAAAGATAAAACTTGTAAAAGCAAAATGTTACACTTAAACTTTTTTAATAATTGCTTTTAAAAATACAAATGATATTAATGAATATGTCTCTGAGTTTTTGCTTAACTTTTCTACCATAATGGGATGTTTCACAGCATGTCCTTGGGCTGTCTGTCCGGTATTCAAATATTTAATTTAATTACTCATGAAATCCCTGGGTGATCTTGGACAACCCATTGTTCTTCAGTTTTACCCCACCCAGCTTCAGTCAGTATGGGGGAAATATGCGGTGGCACAGCGGCTTAATGACGCTGAAAGTTGCCGGCCAGAAATGGTCAACCCTTCAGTGGTTCGAGCCCAGCTCTGCGCAGCAGAGTGAACTCCTGCTTCCTCCCCAGCTCCTGTCAACCCAGCAGCTCAAAAACGTACGTGAGTAGATAAATGGGTACTCTTACCCTGGTGGGAGGAAAAATGCTGGTGGCACCTTGCAAAAAGGAGACAGGAGCAGTTGGCGGTAGCGCGGAAACTGTGCATGCCCAAAAGCGCGAAGCAACGGAAAACCCCGCCTCCTGTGCTCGCCAGCTGGGCTCTGCTCTAGGAAGGAGGCAATGGCAAACCACTTCCGAAACACCTTGCCTTG